TTCCACGCGAGTGGCCGGGACGGGACTGGATCCGGTGCCCGGTTCCGAGGCGCCCAGGCCCGCCATACCCCGGGCTCCGTCGCTGCCCCGACACCGGCACCAGCACCGCGATCGCGATCGGCTCCGCCCCGGGACCGCCCTTGGCACCGCCCGGGGCTCCCAGCACCGGCCCCGGCCCCTCACCGAGGGAGTGCCCCGGAGTCTTCTTCGGGACCACCTGCCGGGAGACCGGGACCGCCTTTGACACCGCCCGGGGCTCTCGGCACCGGCCCCGGCCGCGCACCCAAGGAGTGCCCCGGAGTCTTCTTCGCGACCGCCAGTGGGGAGACCGGGACCGTCTCGGGACCGCCCCCGGGATCGTCCCCAGATCCGCGGCACCGCCTCCGGGATCGCCCCCAGGGCCGCCTCCCCTTCCCCGGTACCACCACGGACCGTCGATACTGCCCCCGGGATCGCCCCGAAATTTTCGGAATCACCCCCAGATTCCTGCGATCTACCCTCGCACCGCCTGCAGGCCTCCTTCCAAATCCCCGGTACCTCCCGGGCCCGGGGGACCCCTCCGGCTCCGCCTCGGAAACGCCCCCAGATCTCCGGGATCATCCCCCTCATCAACCCCAGCGCCGCCTCCACAGCCCAGTTCCCCCCTGGAAGCCCGGTACTGCCTCCGGGATCCCCCCCAGATTCCCGGGATCGCTCCGGGTTCAACGCCAAATCCCTTGTACCTCCCCTGACCACTGCCGCCTCCCCCGCATCGCCCGCCGGGCTGCCTCACCGTTCCCGGGACCGCCTCTGACCACCGGTACTGTCCCACAGGACAGCTCTCAGATCCTCGGCATCACCCCCACATCCCCGGCATCAGTCCGAGGAAGTCCGGTGCCTTTCCCTGCATCGTCCCCAGTGCCACCTCCCCATCCTCAGTGCCCCCCGGACGCGGGTACCAATGATCAGCCCCGGGATCTACCCGAGACCACTGCTACTGCCCTGAGATTGCCCCGAGGCTGCCTCCAGACCCCGGTACACCACGGACCATTGGTACCACTCCCGGGATCACCCCCAGACCGGACCCCCGATGCTCCTTCCCCAGTAGCCCCAGCACCCCTCTGACACTCCCAGTGCGCCCTCCTGCACTCTCGATACCACCCACTCCACAGAATGAGGTCCCAATCCCCCTAGTTCCCCCTCATTCAGAACCTTCCCAGTATCCCCACAGCCCCCACAACTGCAGATGCAGAGTCCTCCAGTCCTCTGCTATCCTTCAGTAGCTCCCAGTACCTCCCCTGCACCATTCTGGTAACATCCAGCAGCTCCCAGTACTGTCCCGGGTCCTGCACTAGGAGCAAGAGGGGTGACATCGGGAGCCAGAGGGGGCACCCATTGCTGGGGGGGTGTAACCCAGTGCTGGGGGAGAACCCAGTGTGTGCTGGCTTGAGGACTCCGCTGCCAGTTTGAAGGTCCCTAGTGCTGTGTGGGGTGCCCACTCTGGGGAGACAGCACCAACCCCCCCTTTCCACCCAAAGCTCAGTGATCCAACGGGTCCATAGTAGAGGGACATTCTGGGGTGTCCCAGGAAACTTTGAGGACACACAGACACAACACAATAGGGGTAAATTTGGGTCTCTGGCATCCACTCTGCATGCCCAGGAAGTGGGGCCACTGGGAGCTCCATGTCCCCAAGGAGAGACACCCACCCCTCCAAGGGCACCCACAAACCCTTTTCGGGGGGGCTCACAACCTCCCAGACCCCACTATGCCAAAGACATTTCCCCCACCTCCCCCTAAAACCACCACTCTGTGAGGGAGCCCACCACATCCAACTTCCTTTATTACAAATAAATGAGCAGTACAATTTGGAGGGAGGGCACCCCAGAACCCCTATCCTGAGGGATACGCCTTGATGACCTTTACATCATCGAGGGGTCGGTCCTGGGAGTTAGTCTCCACCATGGCTAGGCGGCCCAGCACCCCCATTCCTTGGCACACCCTCCCAAAAATGCTGTGCTTCCCATCCAGCCACTGTGCTGGGCCCAGTGTCAGGAAAAATTGGCTTCCATTGGTGTCCGGCCCTGCATTGGCCATTGCCAGGATCCCGGCGCCTGTGAGACATGGGGACATGTCACATTATGGATGGGGATACAGGGGACATGCCACCCCACAGCCAAGGTTCCAGCATGACAGGGGACATGTTATCCCATGGGAGGATGTCATCTCATGGCCAAGACCCCGGTATCATGGGAAACATGTCACTCCAAGACTGGCATCCTGGAGGGTGTCACCCTATGGCTACGATCCCTGGGACATGTCACTCCATGGACAGGCTGCAGACGAACCTGTCACCTGACAGAGGGGTCTTAATGGACATCAGTAACAACTTGCTCCCATTGGTGTCCAGCCCTATACTGGCCATCACCAGGATCCTAGTGCCTGTGGGACATGGGCCAAGGATCCTGGCACCCTGAGGGACAAGCCATGCTATGGCCAGGGTCTTGGAGGACATGCCATTTCAGGGACAGGGTCTGGGGGATATGGAGGACATGCCACCCCATGGATGGGGTTTTAGGGACATGTCATCCCCTGGCTGAGGTTCTGGTGTTATGGGGAAAATGCCATCCAATGGAGAGGTCTTAGGGGAACATGAGGAAGAATTGGCTCCTGTTAGTGTCCAGCCTCATGCTGGCCATCGCCAGGATCCTGGTGTCTGTGGGACACAGGGACACGTCACATCAGAAATGCGGAAATAGAGGACAGGGCATCCCATGGCAAAGCTCCTTGGGGTCATGTCACTCAATGGATGGGGTTTTGGGGACACAGAGAACTTGTCACCCTATAGACAGGATCTTGGGGGACAGGGGAGACATGCCACCTCATGGCCAGGGTCCTGGAGGACATACTCCATGACCAGCCTCCTTGAGACATGCCCACCCCATGACTGGAGTCCTGGGAGTCATGTCACTCCCGGGATGAAGACACAGGCGACATCCCATCCCATTCCACAAGTGTGTTCTCAGGGGTCCTGCCCCTCTATAGGTGGGGTCCTGGGGTCCCAGGGATGTCCCTCCAGTGTTCTCCCAGTGCTGGCCCCACTCACCAGTGAACTTCAGGTCCGGGTGCAGCTCATCCTCAAACTGTTTCCCGTAGATGGAGGCGCCACCACGGCCTGCAGGGGAATTTGGGGGTCAGCAGGAACCCCTGGCACCAGGGCGGGTCCCAGGAAGATTTCAGAGGCCTGTGCTCACCAGTACCCGTGGGGTCCCCTCCCTGCACCATGAAGTCCTTGATGATGCGGTGGAACTTGGTGCCGTTGTAGTACCCGCGGCGGCTCAGCTCAGCAAAGTTCTTGCAGGTGCGGGGGGCGTGTTGCCAGTACAGTTCCAGCACAAGTGGGCCCATCCTGGGATGGGAACACAGAGAATGGGAACGGGAAAGGTATCAGAAATGGGGAAGTAATCCCCACATCCCAAAGTGGTACCCACATCCCCAGCTTCAGACCAAAGCCAGGGGTTGTGTTGCCAGTGCAGCTCCAGCACCAGCAGGCTCATTCTGTGAATGGGAACAACAGGAATGGGAATGGGAACTGGAGACAGGGTCATCACACTGTGATTCCCACAACCAGTTTCAGACCAAAGCTATGGGCTTTTTCTGCCAGTACAGCTCCAGCACTGGAGAGCCCATCCTGAGAATGGGAAAACAGGAACAGGAATGACACTGAGAATGGGGAACAGCACCAGGAATGGGAACAGGAGATGGGGTGGGTCACCCTGCTGTGAACTCTTCCACCTATAGGGTCAATTCTTGCAGCTGCAGGGCAAGAATTGTGACCCCCCAAACCCAGTTTGAGACGAAAGTCAGGGGGCTGTGCTGTAAGTACAGCTCCAGCACCAAGCAGGCCCATCCAGGGAATGGGAAATAGGAATACTGGTAATGGGAATGGGAACAAGAACAAGGACGGGTAACAGGAAACACCTCAACGTGATCCCTCACTCCCCCCCCATATCCCCCAGGGCCAGTCAGGGACAGGGACCACAGGGGTGAGAGGGGATGGGGGGCAATGGGACACCAGGAGGACAGGGATGGCTCTTGGTATCCGGGGAAACAAGCTGGACTGGCTGGTTCTGTGCGGTATCGGGAGACACTGGGGCTAACGGGATACCATGGGATCACTGGGATCTGCCTGATACCGAGGGGCTTGGGGGTTACGAACACCAGGGAGGAGACCGAGGGAACCAGGGGCCCTCTAGTATCGGGGCGGAAACCAGGACTGGCTCATGCTGGGGAATAGCGGAGCTGTCCCGTTCTGGAGACACTGAGAGTTTCTTAGCACCTGTGGAGTTCAGGGTCTGCCTGATACCGGGGGCTCACGGACACCGGGGACTGCCCCGTACCGGGAGGATCAGGGACTCAAGAACACCGGGGCTGCACGGAAGCCAGGGAGAGAAGGAGCGGACACCGATTTACCGCCAGTGCCGCGGAAGGGGGCGGGACAAGGGGTGGGCAGGGCCTCCCGTGCCGGTACCGGTGCCGGTACCGGGGCGATGCCCCGCCCCTTACGTGGTCTCCATGGAAACGGTGGGCGGCTGCCAGGAGTCGGGCGGGACGGCGGCCATGCTGCGGAGGCACCGATGGCGGAACGACCCTCAGGCACCGCGCTTCCGGGCCACACCCCCAGCTGTTGAAGGAGGGGCGTGGGGGAGGGGAAGAGCCAATCAGCGAGACGAAAGGCGAGGAGACTGGCCAATCAGAATGAACACCTAAAGGGAGCAGGCCAATCGGAACCCGGGGCGGGCGCGCCGCGATTGAGCCGCAAGGGGAGGGGGAATTCGAACGAGACCGCGCCCCTTTCGTTAGGCCACGCCTCCTCGGCGCGCGCGACGAGCGGGAGCCGGGGGCGGTGAGGTGGCGGGGGAGAGGGGGACGAGGGCAGACCGGGACCCCCGGGGACAGGGGAAACCGGCGGGGAGATCGGGTGGGCCGCGGAGCGCCGGGTAAACCACGCCATGCGGAGATGGGGAGACGTGGGGTCGGGTGAGGGGCTGGGACCCCCTGGTAGGGGCTGAGGACGCCCAGGGCTGGGGCTGCGGGGCCCGGACCCCCGGTGGGGGCTGGGACCTTCTCAGTGTGGGGCTGGGGTCACCAAGGATTGGGGTGCGCGGCTGGGACTCGTCGGTGGGGCTGGAACCCTCTTACTCTGGAGTTGGGACCCCCCAATGTGGGACTGGGGTCTCCTAGGCTGGGGGTGAGTGGCTGGGGGATTCACCAAGTGTGGGGGAGGGATCGCCCCATTATGGGGCTGAGAGCCCACAGTGTGCGGCTGGGAGGCCCAGGAGTGGGAATGGGACCCCCAGGGTCGGAGTTTGGATTTGAGACCCTCCCCGGTATGGGGGCTGGGAGCTGGGAGGCCTAGGAATGTGGATGGGACTCCCTCGGGATCGAGATGCAGAGCTGGGACCCCTCAGTGTGGGGCTGGGGTCCCTAAGGGACTGGGGGTGAAGGGCTGGGATCTCTAGGTACGGGAATGGGGTCCTCTTGCATGGGGATGGGACCTCCTGAGGATCGAGATGTGGGGCTGGGGGTCCCTCGGGATCGGAGTGTGGGTGTGGGGCTGGGACCCTCTGGGTGTGGAACAGGGGCTCCCCTGGGTGTGGGGCTGCGACCTCCCAGCGGGGTTGGTCCCCCTCAGTGTTGGGCTGGGGTCCCCGATAGGGGCTGGGAACCACCATTGTGGCGCTGGGGACTCGCACGGATCAGGGTGCGGGGCTGGGACTTTCCACCGTGGCACTGAGGACACCCGGGCTGGGGATGCTGGCTGTGGGTTCCCCGCGCGGGGGTCGCCGGTGTCACCCCCGCCTACTGGCGCTGGCGGAGCCATCCCTGTCCCCATCCCGGTGGCACCGAGCCCAGCGGCGCCTGGCACTGGCCGTGTCACCCGCGCGCTGGCTGGCGCCACCGGGCCCCCGCGGGGGGTTGGGGACACGGCGAGGGGCGGGTAGGGGCACGGGTGGGGAACCCCGATGGGGTCGGTGGTGACCCCCGCCAGCTCCCACAGGTGGCCCCGGTGCCCCGAGGCGATGGCCGAGGACCGAGGTACGGCAGCACCAGTGCTGCATGTCCCCCATGTTTCCCCCCTGGCACGGGGGGCCGGGACTCACCCCCAGTGTCCCCCTAGATGTTCGATTTGTCACCGAGGAGAGCTTCGACTTCGGTGTGCTGTCGCCGTCTGACAGGTATGGGAGGGTGGTGGGGAAAAGGGCACCCCATGGATGGGAACAGGGGGGACAAGACACCTTGTAGTTGGGAACGTGGGGAATAGGATGGGATGTGGAGGACAGGGTACCTCATTGTCAATGTCCTAGGGGACATGTCACCCCATGGATGGCGTTGTGGGGGATGTGCAACTCATAGCTGGGGTCCTGGGGGCCATGAGGGACATCACACTCCAAAGAGGGTGTCCTAAGGAACATGTCACCCCATTAACACAGTTCTGAGGGTCCTGTGGATATGTCCCCCTCAGAGATGTGGTTCTGGGGGTCCTGCGGGATGTGTCACACAATGAATGGGGTCCTGGGTGGCATGGGGGGGGGGGGGGTTCCTGCCACTTCTTGGCAGCGGTGTTTGGGGGGCTGACACAGCCATTCCACCTCCCCCCTTCCCATCCGCAGCCAGGAGGAAGAGGAGGATGAGGATAGCCCGGGCAGGGGGTGCCGGCACGGGGGCAGCAACGGGCGCTGGAGTCCCCTGAGTGGGGCCCGACTGGAAGAGATGGTGCGGGAGGCCACGCGCCTGGCGGCACAGTTGGAGGGGTGTCACCTGCCCGCTCCCGGAGACCCCCCCGGACCCGCCTCCACACCCCCCAGCACACCCCGCAGCCCCCGCCGCCAGACCTTCGTGGTGAAGGATAGCCCGGTGCGGGCGCTCCTGCCCACCGTGGAGTCTCAGGGCCCTGCCCCCAGCCCCCGCCCCCCCGCCAAGCCCCGGGGGGCCTCTGCTGCCACCGGTGTCCCCAAGGTAGGTGAGACCCAGGGGTAGGGGTCCTAGTGTGGCTGTGTCCCACCTGGGCTGAACACCCAGATCTCCCCCAAACCCATCCTAGATGGGGGCAGTGAGTGCCTCCCTGTCTCCAAGGGGCATCGTGAACCCCCCAGCCCTGTGGGTGAGGGGGCACTCACTGAATGATGTCTCCATGTCCCCTGCTCTATTTTCAGGCACCTCCCAGCCGTAATTCCACAGCAGCGGCAAAGGGACCCTTGGGTAGCAGGGGGCTCCCCCCCAGCCGTGCGGGCCCACCCCGGCCATGCCCTCCCCAGGGGCAGAGGGCTGGTGCCCGGGGCAGGTCAGAGCCCCCCCAGGGGGGAACAGCAGGTAGTTATGGCAAGGGAATGGGAACACCATGGCCATGGGGGCTCCTGGGCCAGACGCCAACCCCCCCTCTCTCCCCAGGCCAGGCTAAGGTGAGGGGGGGCACAGTTTCCTGCCCCCCCCCAACCCGCCAGCCCCACACCAGGACCACCACCACCCCTGTGCCCTCCAGCTGTTCCCCGGCACCCACTGCCCTCCCCAAGTTGTCCCCTCGGGCTCCAGCAGCGGGTGGGAGGACCCCCACCCCCAGAGGTAAGGATGTAATGGGGTTTGGGGGCCGCAGGGGATGCCCCATCCCCCGTGCCTCAGTTTCCATGTGGCTTCTTTCTCCTTTGCAGGTGCAGGGGCAGCACGGGCAGCCCCCACAACTGGTGCCTCGGGGTGCAAACCAGGACCCCCTCCCACCCGCCTGCGGTCCTCCCGCAAGACGGCGGTGAGCAGCACCCCGAGGTGACACCCCCAAACCACCCCACACCCACCCAGAGGCCCTGGGGGCACCCAGACCCCCCCTAGGTACCAGCTAAGGTACCTAGGCTGGGGGGGGCAGAGCCACCCCAGGGATGAGTTGAGACATCCACTGGGTTTTGGAAGGAGGCAGGCAGCACCAGGGGCCCCCAGGGAGCAGCCAAGGCACCCGTTGGGTTAACAGGTTGCAGGGCAGAGCTGGAACCCTCAGGGACCAGCTGAGGTTGGGGTGGCAGAGCCAGGGGTGTCCCCAGGGATGAGCCAAGGCACTCATTGAGTTTTGCTTTAATTACAAAAGGTCTCATCAGCAGTAGGAAACCCCCCACATTCCCCAGTACCCAGGGGCCCCTCATTCCCCCAACACCCACCCCTGGGTTCCCCCACTTGAGCCTCACCCCTGGGCAGGGGAGGTCCCAGATTTCCCTGTAACCCCTAGCTGATCCCCCCTCCACATGCTCCCCACTGGGGGAGTTGGCACCATGGGACGGGTTGCACCTTCATGGGAGTTGGCACCTTGGGGGGCAAGGGGGGTTGGCACAATGGGGGAAGTTGGTTATAAATTCCTTTTTTTGTATTTTCATGTATTTTTTAAATAAAACACTCTGCTGGGCAAAGGGGCTGGGGGTGATCATGGGGGGACAACAGGGGCACCCTGTGCCATCATCCCAAGGTGCCAATCCCTGCAAGGATGCAAAGTGCACTGAGGGGATGGTTGTGGCTCCCTGCTCCTTCCTGATGTCCTCCCAGTCCTTGTGCATCCCCAGTCCTGGTGTGTTCTACCCCCCGCCCCCACCATGCTGGTGCCCTCCCTGTCCTGGTGGCCCTGGCACAGTGGGTGGGCTGCCTGCTGGGTGGGTCCCCATTAGATCGAGGTCTCGTCGCTCCTGGTGGGGGGACGGACAGATGGGGGAGGGGGGGGGATGGATACAAAGTGCAGGATGGGGGGAGAATAAAAAACAAGACAGACAGATGCATGATGGAGGAGGTGGATGCCAGGGTGCCCTCTGTGCCTCCCAGCACCCAGCGCCAACCCCTGGGGGGAGATGGTGGGGTGGGGTTTGGGGGGGAGCCCCCAGCCCCCTTGGGTTAATGGAGAAAATTAAAAAACAGAAATCTGGGGGGTAGAGGGGGAGAAAAGAGTAGAGTTAGTGCTGCTGTGCCACCTCTGCCCTAGGCATCCATGGGTGGTCAGGGGTACCCAGTGGGTACCCCGGCACCCAGTGAACACTCCAATGGGCACCCTGACACCTAGTGAGCACCCAGTGGTCAACGGGCACCTTTGGACAGTCAGTGGGCACCAAATGGACACATAATGGTCAATGGATGCACAATGGGCATCCAGTGGGCACCCACGGACAGTCAACTGGCATCCAGTGGGTGCAGTTAGACGTGATGAACACCCAGTGAGTATTCAGTGGGTATCCAGTGGGTATTCTGTGGGTTCCTCAACCCTCAATGGGCACCCAGTAGGAATCTAGTGGAAAACCAACAGCCACCTTTGCACCCCATGGGCACTCAAGAGGAATACTGGCACTCAATGGTCACCTGTTGGTTACCCTGGCACCCTATAGACAGCCAGCAAACACCCTACATGTGATGGGCACCAATGCGCACCCTGGCACCCAATATTCATTGGATCTGGCACCCGATATTCATTGGATCCAAAGGGATTGCTGGGACCTGATGAACACCCAAGAAAGAACCCTGGCACCTGATGGGCATCCAAAGGGTGCCCGTTGGGCACCCTGACACCCAGTGGACACCCAAAGGGAACCCTGGAACCTGATGGATACCCGACAGGTAATGTTGTACCCAATGGGTGTTCAGTCATTACTGTGGCACCTGATGAGCAGCCAAGAAGTGTTGGATCCAATGTGTGCCCAACGGGCACCTGAGAGAAACCCTGGCACCAAATGAGAGTGCAACAGGAACCTTGGCACCCTGGTACCCAGCTATCCTTGCATCTGATAGGCACCCAAAGGGTACCCAACAAGTGGTGTTTGACTGCTTGTCCACCCAACAGGAACCCTGGCACCCCAAGGGCACCCTCAAACCCAAGAGGTGCCCAGAGGGCATCCTGGCACCCAAAGAACTCCCAGTGAGCACCCCTCAGATGTGGTGGGCACTCACTCAGAGCCAGAGGAGTCCTCGTCAGCAGTGCCTGTGCGGATGCTCATGGCAATGGGGGTGAGGCCGCTGAGCTGCTCCTGGAGGCTCTGCCGAGGCCGGGGCACGGGGAGGGGGCCCACATCACTGCCTGAGGAGGCAGCCGTGCAAGCAGGAGGCGGTGGGGGTGGCCCAGGGTGCTGGGCACTGCCCCGCTCACTGATGGGGGGCAGGCACTTCTTCAGTATCCCTGCAGGAGCAGCATCACCCATGGGTGGGGAGGCCAGATTTGGAGTGCCCACCCATGCCATGGCAGCCCATACCTTTGTGGGGGTGGGGCAGGGGCAGCAGCAGGGGGTTCCTGGGGAGTGCCTCGCCGTTGGGCTGGGGGGGGTCACCCCAGGGGTGTCCCTGCCCCCCTGCTGGCTGCACTTGCAGCCCCTCGCTACCTCCTGGTCCCTCACTCTCGCTCGCTGTTGTCACAAACTCCCCTGGCCAGTATGGGCATCCCGGGGGCACCAGGGGGTCACCTGCGGGGAAGGAAGGAAGCTGGGACAGGCAGGACCAGGGACCCCCTCCCATCCTCGCTGGGTGCCCCCATCAGCACATAGTGTGAGAAATGCACCCAAACCCATTGCATCAGTCCCATCCACACCTCAGAGTGGACAAGGGGCCATCTTTCCCCCCTGGGTGCCCCAATCAGCACCTCTGACTGCATGAGGAACCCCAAACCTTTTAAGTGTCTCCCATCACCAGACCGGACAAGGGACCCTCTCTCTCATACCCACTATGTGTTTATCAGAACTCCAGGCTGGACCAGGGATCCTTTGTCCACTGTGCGCCTCCTGCATCAGGACCCAGCCAAGATGCAAGACCTCCTCCCACCCCCCCAAATCTATTCAATGGCCCTATCACCACTCCAGACTGGACAAGGGAGCCCTACCCCCACCAGGTGCCCCCCATCACTGTCCTGGATAAGGCAAGGGACCTCCCCCAACCCATTGGGTGCCCCCATCAGCATCCAGCCAGGCTGAAGGTCCCCCATCTCCACGGGGTGCCCCCTGGGGGTGTTACCAGGGCCGGGGGGACCCGGCGGAGCCCCGGGCAGGGGGTCCCAGCCACGGGGGGCCTCATCCTCGCTGTCAGAGGAATGTGTGGAGCCATAGGATCCACTCGGGTCGTCCAGGGACAGGTCACTGTCTGACTCTGTGTCGTGCTCTGGGGGGGTCACAGGTCAGGAGGTGCCCAGAGACACCTCCTGCCCCCTGGGCCGAGGCTAGGGGCACTCGCCCTATGGGTGAGGCCGTACCCTCGGGCTGGTCCTGAGTGCCAAGGAAGAGCCCCCCAGGCTCGGGCAGCGGAACTGGCCCCGGGCTGCCTGCCAGACCTGAGTCCTCCCTGTGGAGACACAATACTCATCAACATCTGATCCCCACTCACAAACACCTACCATCCACTGTCACCCACTGACTGACACCAACCCACTGACACAATATTCATCCACTGACACCCACCACCCTGATATCCATCACCCTGACACCTACCTCTGCCACCACTTCATCCCAACACCCCCTCAACCCCCCACTCTGTGACCACCCTGCCACCTCACCACTGCATGTGCATGTCACCCTGCCACTGTAGTGCTGTGCATCCATGCCACTGCCCTGCCACCCAGCCATCCCAGCACCCCTACAAGCACGCCGCCCTGCCACCCAGCCATCCCAACACCCCTACGAGCACGCCACCCCACCATCCACCAATCCCAACACCCCCACAACCATGACACCCCACCACCCACCATCCTGCCATCCCAGTATTCCCATGCCATGCAATGCCATATTGCCACCCCACCAACCCACCACTCAACCACCCCAGCACCCCGCTACCCCACCATCCCATCACCATTCCATCTTGTCATCCCAGTGCCACACCAGCCCAGGAACCCACGAAAACCCATGCCCTGGTCCCAGGTGTGCCCAGTACCGCCGCACAAAGGGGATGTAGCTGTGGTGGCTCTTGCCCGAGCGTGCAGTGCTGTGCAGGGACCCCGAGGACCCACCACCTGGGGGCGGGTACAGTCGCCCTGCCACGTATGTGCTGTCCCTGCCACAGGCCTGCCAAGGGCACAAGGATGTCATGGCCATGGCACAGGCTGCCCTTCTCTTCCTGGCACCCCCCCATGTGGCCCAGCACTCACGGGAGTGAGGGTGGCCTTAGTGGCCAGCGGTGGGTGGTGCCAGCGGGCACAGCTCAGGCGGAGGCTCCTTCGCACCTCCTTGCTCAGCACCACACAGGACAGGAAGATGAGGGGGCCCTGGGCAGAAAGGCGGCGGGGGGACAAGGAAGGGTAGGTACAGCCTGGGAGGATACCAGCAGCACCCTGGACCAGTCAAGGGGTCACCATCCACACTGGGTGCATCCCATTTGCACCTCAAAGAGAATGAGCATGCCCTCCACTGATATCTCAAACGGAATGAGGGACCCCCATATGCACTGGGTGCCCTCCATGGGCACCATGGAGTGGTTGAGGTGCTCCCATATACACTGGATATCTCCCATTAGTGCCCTGGATATGGCAAAGGACCTCTCTGTGCCCACTGGGTGCCCTACAAATAGGTGTGGGACTCTGGAGGTGCCAAGGGTGTGAGGTTCAGGGGGCTCTGGGATCTCTGGGAGTCCCAGGGGTCATGGTCACTGGGGATCCCAGGGGCAGAGGCTTTGGGGTTCTGGAGTCTTTGGGGGTCCCAAGGGTGGTGGCTCTGGAGGTTCCACGAGTGGAGTCTCAGGTGGTTCCCACTGACCTGGAGGCAGTTGGAGGCGGCGAACAGGTAGTGACAGAGCAACGTGTCACTGTTGACTGAGAGCAGGGCCAGAAGCCAGGCCAGGCTGGGCATGGCCAGTAGGACTGCAGCTGTGCGCACCCCAGACCTGAGCACCCCAATGGCACCCAGTGTTACCACAATGACATCGCATGTCACACCCCTCTGCACTTCTGGCCCCCAGGGTTGCCCCAGCCCCTCATAGCCCCCTCCCCCTCCAGATGCCCCAACTTCCCCCTGACCCACTCTG